CCTACATGTATTTTTTCAGGCTCATAAAATATTTTGTCTTTTGGTGCTATTGTAATTAGGGCTCTTTATATTCTGTTTTCTAATTGTTTATTGCCTCTTTTTTCTAGCAGTTCTGTCAAGTTTTACATCATGTTATTCAGAGAGTAGATACTAGTGTTTATTAGTTGACTCCTTTATCATTACAGAGTGGCCCTCTTTATCCCCAGTAATCTTATTTGCTCCAAAACCTACTCTGTCTGATGTTGATATAGACATTTCAGCTCTCTCCTTACTAATGTGAACCTGGTATGTCTTTTTCCTTCCTTTACTTTTTGATCAATTTGTATCCTTATGTTTAAAGAGAGCGTGTTGCAGACAGCATGGAGTTGAGTGTTATTTTTCTATTAAGTCAGACAGTGTCTGGTGGTTGGTTGGTTGGTTGGGTGTGCAAACTACTTCCTTTCAATGTGAGTATTGGTGTTGTTGAGTTTAAGTCCGCTGTCCTGCTGTGTGCCTGTGCAGTCCCCAGGGCGACACCTGGACTCTACCATTGAAAGCAGGCTTGAACTAACCTCACAAATGAGGAAAGGCGTAGATTTTCTCTTAAGATTGCCACTAGGGGGGTGCCTGGGTGGCTCAGTCATTAAGCATCTGCATTCGGCTCAGGTCATGATCCCAGGGTCCTGGGATGGAGCCCTGCATGGGGCTCTCTACTCGGCAGGAGGCCTGCTTCTCGCTCTCCCACTCTCCCTGCTTCTTTTCCCTCTCGCTGTCTCTTTCATTCAGATATTCTAACGTGCCCTTTATTAGGGTTTTTATGCTCTCTCCACTGGGGCCTTGTAACCGGCAGTGAGTTCCCAGGCCCTGGTCACTTCTGGAACTGTGTTCCTGGGCGCCTCCTGTTCATTCTGTTCCCTAATCACGTTGCTGTTAGCGGAGAGGGTGTGCTGTTAGTCTTGTACTTGTATTTTTGGTTTCTGTATCCTAGCGCAGCCGAGATGGTCTGTTGTATGGTTTCTGCTGTTTTTTCCAGATACACTGTAACTTTTACAAATACAATTTTCTATTAAAAAAAATAATAATAATGTCGATAGGCTCCCTCCCCAATTCCTCCCACCCTACCCACCCCCACGATGCATTTTAGGACTCTCAGAACCTAGTGTTTCTGACTGGGAGGATGAGCTCCGGAGGAGCTGAGACCTGGCCTGAGCGGCCTCACCTCTACACATAGTTGTGCGAATACAGTAGAGTACGTGCAGGGGTGGAGGAACCCGTGTGGTTTAGACGAGGAACTGAGTATCCAGCCTCGCCGACCCGTTGTCCAGGAAAGTGGCTTACCGGGGTGGTCCTCGTCTCTGGCTGTCCCCTCCGCCCCCCGCCCCGGTCCACTGCGCTGCCCTTACTCATCCTCGTCTCTGGCTGTTCCCTCTGTCCGCGGCGCTGCGCTTAGATCGGCACGCGCGCAGCCTGGCACTCACCCGCCGCTGGCCACTGTCCCAGGTACAGAAAGGCTTCGTGACACCGCTGCACCGCAGGGTTGCTCGCACCTGACTGAGTAGGTGCAGCGGTCTGGGCCGGAGCCTCTGCAGCTGGTTTAAGCCGGGAAAGCAGGGCGTCGAGGCCGCTGTGAAAGCAGGTGCTGCCGAATACGCAGAGTCCGCGCGCCCCACCGGCCGCCGTGCGCGTCCCACCGGCCGCCGTGCGCGTCCCCTACGTGCGCGCGCCCACGAGCACGGCCGCCACACGTGCGCGCCCCGGCCCGCTCCCCACGGGCCCTGGGCAGTTAGGAGGTTCGTACCTTGTGTACACGTGAGAAAACCTGAGCGTGGGCAGGATTTTCGGGGCACAGTCCCTGGCTCTGGGTCGAAGACGGCCGGAAGCCTGCCGCCCCCCCGCCCCAGCCCTGGGCCCTGCTGCCCTGTCCATGTGGCCTGACCCCGGCTGGGACCTCAGCCCTGGGGACACTGTCACTCCGTGCGAGCTGAGCGGTTAAAATGAATCCGTCGGGTCCCCGTCCAGCCCCCAGAACAAACCGGATTCCTTCCACTTCCGCGCGTGAGGAGGACGGACACCAGCCCCCCCGTGGTGTCCAGCCTGGACTCCGCGTGGCTGGACGGCTTGGCCCGCCCTCCTGCCGGCGCTTGGCTCGCCGGACCCAGCAGCGTTTGTGCTCAGAATCCCTGAGATGCAAGGATCGCTTGAGGCGGCCCGTCCCCTGCCCGCCGCCCTTGTCCTCCACATGTTGGCGGTTGGCACAGCCTTTTCTGCAGCCGAGCCTTGAACTCCTGCGCCGGCCGTGGTGGGAAGGCTGTGTCTTGGGGAAGAAGCAGTTTCGTGGCAGTTAGAGTCGGCCAGCAGGAAAACTTCCTGGATCTGGGCTGGTCACCTTCGGGGACACTGAAAAGAGGATTTGGGCTACAAAAGCCCGGTGGTCTGCCAGCCCTGCAGACTCCCGACCCCGCCTCTGGGGTCCGGGCTGTAGGTGACCAGACACCCCGCACGGGCTTCAACTTGAAACTGGGGTCATGAGCTTCTCCACTGGTAAGCGGTAACCAGCTTCCTAGGAGTCTTCACCAAGCAGGTGTGTGGGTCAGAGTCCAACCAGAGAAGCAACCAGTAAGAGACAGAGACAGCCCGGGAGATCCTTTCCCAGGAACGCCTTCGGTAGGAGCCGAGGCCGCCTCCACAGGGAGGGTTTTGTCTTCCTCTGGGAAAACTGTGGTTCTGTTCTTCAGACTTGGCAGCTAAGTGGCTGTGGCCCACCCACGTCCTCAGGGTTCATCTCTCGAGCTGCAGGTCGGCTGACTGAGATGTCGACCCTAGCTACAGATATCTCCACGGGTGCCGCTCCCATTTGTGTCCAATAGTAAGCCATGATCTGTCCCATCTCACTTTCCTGCCCCCGGTTAGTCTCTCTGGGGACAGCTGCCCCACCTGCTGTCACACTCCAGTCCTCATGGGCACTCTGGCCAGTGAGGGACCTGTGGGGGCACCTGCTGGCCCCAAGCAGAGCAGGAGGGCAGCCGCCCCCGCCGCGTGCATGCTCCCTTCCTGAGTGGGACTGAGATGTCACAGGCTGTAGTGAGTGTGTCCAGGAGAAGCAGGCCTAGCGTGTGTCTGGAGCACCTCCACCACCCAGGGACGCCATGTGGGCTCTGTCCTCCTGCGCTGGGCATGTGGCTCTCCTCTGCTACACTCTTTTCCAGGCACCTGCCATCTCTGGGTGACTGTCTTAGAGCCCCCAGCCGTCTGCCTTTGAAGGAGTAGAAAGAAAACCCGGCTCATGAATGCCGCACGCCCATACGGGCCTCAGACTACATCTGACTCCACTGTCCACACTTTCCTAACCCAGGAAGGAAGGGGCAAAGGCTCGTGGTGGCGCGGCTCATCTGCTGCTCCTCGGCAAGCCCGGGGGTGGTGCGGAGAGGGGGGCGGGCAAATGTGGCCTTTCCGGGGTGTGGGGGCTCTTGCTGTCTACTTGTTCTCTTCTGTGGACTTGGGGATCCGAGTGCCAGGAGAGTCCCTCCCTGGGCACCAGTGACAGGATGTGCCCCATGCACCTGCCAGCACCTGTCACAGCCTCCGTCCGTGAGTCACCTGTTACTAGGGGGCCTCCTCCAGGACCTTTTCACAGGTTCCAGACCATTTTTTACTTTCTGCTTAGGTTTTAGGGGTATTTTATTTTTACTAAAGGATTTTTTTTTTTTTTTCCTTGTCTGCATTTCCAACCATCTTTTGTTTCTTCCGTTCCTGTGTTATCTCAGCCCCGTTGCTGCGATGCCTTGCCTCCGCTCCTCCTCTCAGACAGCACGGACAACAAATGTTTGGGGCTCAGGGCTTCTGTAGCTGATGGCTTGAAGTGGGGGCATGTTCCTTCACAGAACACGATGGTAGGGCTCGGAGTTCAGTGTCAGTAATAGTAAAGATGAGAAAAGAAACACAACTGTTAGCCTCGAGCTTTAGCTCTGTGTCCATGAGACTGGACACCCTTGCATCAGGTCTGCCCAGGACCATCCACAGATCCTCCCCTCACGTTGTCATGGAGCTGAGTCTTACCTTGTGTGGCAGGTGTTTGGATGGTGTGCTGTGGGGAGTGGGGAGACAGAGGCCTTGCTGGGGTCATGTGAGTGCCTATCGCTCGAGCCCAGTCCTGCAACCCACATACGGTGGTTCAGAGCCTCTGAGAGGGAACTGACCGTATTTAAACTTCCTACAAAAAGAAGTAGTTACAAATTGATGATATGGAAAAACTAAACATATCACAAATTTATCAGTACATGTTGTGCGTTACTTACAGATTAATGGGCATTCCAGTGTACCTGTGCTCTAGAGAATTCTAGATTTTATGTAGAAACACCTGTAAAACCCTGACTTCTGTGAAGCTGGAAATAGACGGAGCCATAATAATAAACGGGGTGGGCATCCGCAGTGAAGGACAATATAAAGAAAAATGGGCAGCACATTGTACGAGGGGGTCACTCACACTCCAGAGAAATCTCTTCCTGAGTCCAGATAGACGAAGACCGCGACCGTCCAGCCCCAGGCACGGTTGGTGGGTCTGGTCTCTCGGTGCCGATCGCAGGCACCTCCGGGGCAGGCGGTCAGTTCTTCAGTCTTCTGCTGTTTCCTCCGTGATCTCATCCTTTTCTTCCCAGCACTACACCGGCCTCCTTGCTTGGCACTTAGACATGGAAGAGACTGAGGGCTCCCCACTGCCCGCTGGCACTGGCTGGTGCTAGTTGTCCGTGAATCTGGCAGCTCAGAGTCGAGCAGGAGTCTCGGTGGCCGGCCGTCCATGGGCCACATTTCCTGCTGCGCTCCTGACCCCAGATCTCACTGGGGATGCTCGCTGCTTCCGTAATCTTAAGAATAAGGATGAGCCAGATAACTGCTAGAAGCAGCTATCATTACAATTAAAATGTTTTCTGTAAATATTAAGGTTTCCTGTAAATGTTTTTTTAAATGTTTTCTGTAAATACCTTGAATGTCCTGGTTATGACTCAAGAATGTGTGGATTTTAGTTTGCAGTTAACATGTTTCGAACATTACCACCTTCCTCCAATCCTACGGGAGCAGAATTTGACCCCGAGGAAGACGAGCCCACATTAGAAGCAGCCTGGCCTCATCTACAGGTACTGAACTCTGAGAATGCCCCAGAAACAGGGGCACGAATAGATTGTGTGTATTAGTGGGTTTTCTCTAAAGCACGTGCGCCGGCTTCTAGGCCCTCCAGCTTATTGAAAGCAGACCTCTGACTTTGCAAACCTGCGCGTCTAAGAAAGGTATTTTAGCGGAAGTGAGAACATCAAATGGCTGGTTTGTTTGGACCCCTTGGGACGAACTACAAAGATACATAATTGCCAGTATGTTGGTAATGAAAGTGACCTCCTCGCCGATAGCCGTTAGATCAAGGCCTTTTGCAGCTAGATGCTCCCCCCCACCCCATTTTCAGGATGTAGATATGATGCGCCCCAAAGCTCCCCTGCTAACTTGCGCATTTGTAAGGCAAAAAGTTGATCGAAGATCAGACGGGATGCCTGAGAAGACCCTGAGCCCAGCGCAAGCAGAGTGTGTGCAAGCCACGCGCCGCACCAGGGCCCGGGTCGTCCACAGGAGGGGAGCTAGAGAGGGGAAAGCTGGGAACGAGCAAGATGGGGAACAGATCACAAAGGGGGGCTGTCTCAGGGGCAGCATGCAACCCACTTGTGAAGGGGAGGAGTGTCCCAGCCCTGGGTGACCGCGTCCGTGACCCGCTCACTGAGCCGTCCCAGCTTCCTGTCTGCCTGGCTCTGCCAGGACACATGCCCGTGGCGGGTGCAGGTCCCAGCCCGCTGTAGCTGCTGCGCACTGTGGTCTCCCAGCAGCCTCAGCGGAGCACCAGTGACCCCCCACTGCGGTATCATTTTGTTTAAATGCTATTTAAGGCTGTAGCCTGTGGTTCTGAGCTAAATAAAACAATACCGTTTTCAGTTGTAATTAAAGGAAGCCATAGTATTTGGACTTAATTCTGTAGATACGTGGCTTTTTATTAAGGCTTAATATTTTCAGACAGAGATTCAACTCACGGTGTATCTTTAATCTCCAGCTAATAAAATACCATGTTGTTTGACTCATTGTTGTTTTTTTCCTCCTAGCTTGTTTATGAATTTTTCTTAAGATTTTTAGAGTCTCCAGATTTCCAACCTAATATAGCGAAGAAATATATCGATCAGAAGTTTGTATTGCAGGTAAGGTATCGATTAGCGGAAGTTCAAAAGCCCTAAACTACAGCGCGGGAAGTGCCCGTTCACTGAGCGTCTTTTTCTCCTTGAAGCTTTTAGAGCTCTTCGACAGTGAAGATCCTCGAGAGAGAGATTTTCTTAAAACTACCCTTCACAGAATCTATGGAAAATTCTTAGGCTTAAGAGCTTACATCAGGAAACAGATAAATAATATATTTTATAGGTAAGTCGGCGTGTGGGTGACGTGTCCCTGTTTCCATGATGACGGTCGTGTTCACAGTCGGTGCTCCTCCCCACCCCAAGCCCATCATTCCCTTCGGCAAGTGACTGGGAAGTGGGAGCGGCCTGCCCGGGGTGTGTGGGGTGGCAGTGACCCCCTTCTGCCTCCCCGCCCCTCCCTCTCTGCCCGCTCCCCTCCCTCACCCACCACCCCCATCTCACCACACTGCCTTCCTCTGTTTGCGTTTTCACCCAGCTGCCCAGGGTGGGGGGTCCTAGAACCCGTGCAAAGCCAGCTGTCACTCCTTCCCCAACACGTTACTTCATTCCCCCTGCCCCCGATGCATCTCAGAGAGCGGGCGGGAGGGAGGAGTAAGCAGGGGTCCTTAGCAGCTCTCCCAAGCTAGAGAACTGTACCGGAGGTCTGGAAACCCTGTCTACCTCGGGGCAGAGGAGGGCCTGCTGGAAGCAGCAGGTGTAGGTGGCACGGTCATCCCTAGGCCTGTGGGACTGCAGAGACCGGTCAGTCTGGGGAGCTGGGTGCAGAAGTTGCCCTGTCTGGGTTTACATAGAGGAGGGCACAGCCCCATGGCTCATGAAAGAATTTTCCGTGACATTCCAAGTGCGGTATTCACCTTTACTCCGCCCCATCTTCCTCCTTACCCTGGCCACAGCTTCTCATTGACTCTTAAAGTCTGAATACCCCTCAGTCTGCCTGCCACTGTCCCCACGGTTCTGCCACCACCTGAGTCACGTGGATGACTGTCCACATTTGGTTGGATGAGCCTAAGCCCTGGGCGTGGCCGGCCCCCTCACTTGTGTCTCTGCTCACCTCCAGGCCCCTTCCACACAAGCGCCTCCCGGAACAGTCTTTCCACCCGCCCTTGGCCACAGCCTCAGAGGTTTGCCGACGCTGCCCCACGCCAGAAAGCCCCCCTGGCTTGGCAGACCGGTCTCCCCGCGGCGCAGGCATTGTTCTAGCTGCTTTACCATGAGTCCGGCAACAGCTTCACGCCTGTGGTGGCACCATGAAGGCTGATGCGTGAAAGACTTAATATGTCTTGGCCGTCCCTGGAGAGCTCACTGCGCGCAGTTTATTCTGACAATTTGGGCTCCCGGGTCAGCTTGCCTTGAAGGCCCTGACCCCAGGCTGGCTCAAGGTAGTGACTGATCCCAGCGGTGACAGCTGTGTGTGTAGGTACCCCCGTGAGATAAAGCGGACAGGTTTCACACTGTCGGGCCATGGGGCCTCAGTGAGGGTGATGTACAGGCCCTCGCCAGGAGCGCCACAGAGGCCAGGCGCGTCCCTTCTTAGGCACAGTGACCCAGCAAGGGAGAGGGGGGCAGAGACAGATGGAGAGCCCACCACAGAGAACAGCAGCCTCAGGGGCTTCTGGAACCTGTCCCTCTGTGATCAGAGAAGGACATGATGTTTCCTGGGTGTTGTCTTCCTCGCACCTTCTTGGCCTCGTGCTTCCTTCTGAACGGGGTCATTACACGGCAGAGGTACTTCTCTATTGAAACGTTTTATACATTGTTTAAACAGCAAAGAACAGGTACAATTTAAATTCTGATCTTTTGGGGCGCCTGGGTGGCTCAGTGGGTTAAGCCGCTGCCTTCGGCTCAGGTCATGATCTCAGGGTCCTGGGATCGAGTCCTGCATCCGGCTCTCTGCTCAGCGGGAGACTGCTCCCCCGCCCCCCCCACCTGCCTCTCTGCCTACTTGTGATATCTGTCAAATAAATAAATAAAAATTTTTTTTAAATAAATAAATAAAATAAATTCTGATCTTTTAGGCCCAAAATTAAAGATCTACTTAAAGTGAGGGTTTTTTTTTTTTTAATTAAAATGGGGTTTGTTCAGAGAGCAGAATCACAAATCATGAAGACTCTCAGTACAGTAACGAAAACATTTAAATTATTCAGAAGTCACTGCGCTTGATTTCGTTCTCACCAAGTGCCCCAGGCTGGCGTGTGGTGCTCTTCAGTTTCCATCTTTTCTGTCACCGTCGTTCCTGACCGATGCCATCCAAAGCAGGCACATTGTGTGGATTCCGTAGTTGGTCTCTGCCTTCCACACCTCCGATTTCCTGCGGGAAGGAAGGAAGGAGAAGGATCGTGAGAGAGGTCTGTGGCATGACCCCATCTTGGAAGAAAAGATCTCTGCAGCCTGTTTGGTTTATCTCACTGAGAGTGTTAGAGTCAAGCCCCTGTTTGGATAGTTTCTCCTTCTGATGAGCGCGTGGGAACTGGGAGCTACAGGGATCCGCACTGTTGACGGCCCAGCCACGGCGAGCTGGAACCCTGGAGTGAGCAGGGGCAGCCCAGGGCTCCGGGCCTGTTACAGCCCAGCGGCTGGAATCAGCAGCAGCTGGTAAGTTTCCCGAAGGTCCGAATCAGAGCTGGGCTCCGTGGGCAGTTCCGCCGCCGCCCACGGTCTGTGGGGGCTGACACGTGCAGGATGGCTCCGGGCAGGACCTCAGGTGGCTTCCAGGAGGGAAGAAGTGGGAGCCACCCATCCTCCGCAAGGCCCGGCCGGTAACTGGAGCAGATTCCCTTCTCCCTTCTGTGCTGATGCAAGCCACTCACGGGACAACAGATCGGTGGGGAGGGAGACAGATTCCGCCGCTTCATGTGAGGCTCAGGGCACACCCCACGGGGAGGAAAGATACTGATGGTGTCCATTCTGGAGACCACCTCCAGTAAACAGGTTCTGGCTCAGTTTTTAGAGAGTCCTGATTGTTTTTTGCGGAAAAGTGAGAAACACCGTCCGACTCCACGTGCAGACGTCTTCATTATGGCTTTCTCCCCACTCTGCACCTTCCTCTCTTGTCCCTCTCAGGAAAAGTTAAAAGGAGATCTAGTTTCTCTTTTTTATATCTGTTTCAAGTCAGGTCAAATAAATAGAAACAAAGAATTTTGTTAGCTGATTCAAAGAGGCACGTGCACCCCAGTGTTTAGAGCAGCAATGTCCACAGTAGCCAGATTGCGGAGAGAGCCCAGATGTCCATGGACAGACGAACGGGTAAAGAAGATACTGTGTATACGTGCAGTGGAGTATCACTCAGCCATCAAAAAGGAGAGCTTGCTGTTTGCAGTGACATGGATGGAACTGGAGGGTGTTATGCTGAGCAAAAGAAGAGAAAGACAGTTGTCACAGGATTTCTCTCGAATGTGGAATTTAAGAAACAAAACAGATGAACATAGGTGAAGGGAAAATCAAGTAAGATGAAATCAGAGAGGGAGGCAAACCATAAGAGACTCTTAACAAACGGGGCTGCTGGAGGGGAGAGGGGTAGGGGGACGGGGTAACTGGGCGATGGGCATTAAGGAGGTCACGTGATGGAATGAACCCTGGGTGCCACATGCGACTGATGAATCACTGGGTTGCCCCTGAAACCAGTGCTACACTGTATGTTAACTAGCTTGAATTCAAATTTAAAAAAAAAAACTCTCTGATGAAAAAAAGAAACGAAGAACTTATCAAGAAGAATATAGTGATGCTGATTTAGGAAAACAAAATGTCCAACAGCAGAAGGCCGTCCTTGTTCACATGTGACAGCTGGAGCGTGTAGAGCCCGAGCCCAGCAGAGGCCCAGAGCCGAGCCCCGAGGTCTGGGTGCCTCGTGCTGTCCTGCTGCCTTCCCAGCCCCCCGGGTCGTCGAGCAGAGCAGAGAGTCAGCTGGCATGGCTGCACTTCGCACAAAGCTCCAACTTTGCACGTGGAAACTGAGAAAACAAGCAACATTCAAGTTGAGTTTTATAAATCTGAGCACGTCCGAGCGCAGACACAGCACGAAGGATGGGGCTCCAGGGGGTCAGCGCCCAGTCTCCAAGCAGGTGCATCACAGAGCCCAATGGGGAGTTGAGGGCTGTGTCCCCTGCCGTAGGACCATACTGCCTGCTTCTCACTAGACGGGTGCCCCATGCTGTCTGGGTCACTCCCCACCACCTGTTCATGCTGTGGCCACACTCATTTCTGTGGCACTGTGGTTCTCTGTTCAGTGGCTGTAGCCGACCCATGTGACGCACTCGGGGGGCCGCCCTGCGTGAATGCCTTGCCCGCCTCCTGTCCACGGCCCACTCTCCGCTCCATTTCACAGACCTTCGCTCCAGCCCTGCCTTCTCCCTCCCGCTCACCCCGTCCAGACACCTATCAGCCCTCCTTCATGGCCTGGTTCAAGTACCAGACCTTCCAAGAATTCTGCCCATTCCAGAATGTGGCAGTGTCAAGGCCCACCCTTTAGGAGCATTTCATGTGCTGTGGATATTTGACCTGTTCTTTACCTTGAGGTCCCGTGTCCATTCATCGCAAATGAGAACAACGAAATTTCAGAGTCGTATTTTTTTTTTTAAATCATCACAAACTCTTACTTTTGGCGTAGCGCTGCCTCTAAACTGTTCTTGTCAACGGAGAGGCAGAATCCTTTTTCAGACCTCACTCCCGGCAGGCAGGCGCCCATGCCTTGGTTGAGGTTGAGGTGGACTCCAGGCGAGCACGGTGTGGGCAGGAGTGGGCTGCTGGCTTCTGAGGAAATCCTCGGGAGCTGGGGAGATGTTGCCCTGTTCAGTGTCCCTGTTCTTTCTCATAGTTCCCAGCCTGTCAGCGTGTTCTAAGCATGGGACAGAAGTTACAGGGGCCATGGGAGCCCACTGGGCAGGCACAGCTTGAGAGGCTTCTCACTATGCAGATCAGCTGCTCGTACTGGGGTTCCTGGAGGGGGTGCTTGAATCCGTGAGGGGCCATGCAAGGTGTCTATAAGGAAGCAGGCAAAACAGCCCAAGTGGGCAGGAAGGGACTTCTGCCCTGGCACAGACCCAGCCAATTGTTGGAGGTTTTAAAACTGAGGAAGGTATGGGCACCTGGGTGGCTCAGTGGGTTAAAGCCTCTGCCCTCGGCTCAGGTCCTGATCCCAGGATCTTGGGATTGATCTCCACGTCAGGCTCTCTGCTCGGTGGGGAGGCTGCTTCCTTCTCTCTCTCTCTCTCTCTCTCTCTCTCTCTCTCTCTCTGCCTGCGTCTCTGCCTACTTGTGATCTCTGTCAAATAAATAAATAAAATCTTCAAAAAAAAAAAACTGAGGAAGGTGTTGAGTTAGGTTGGCAGATGGCAAATTGCTCATCATCACCTCTAGGCGGCTAAAGTAGGGGAGCTCATAGTACAGACCCTACAGCCTTTCTTCATCTTTGGAAATCCAACATTTGAGCAGACCCATGCGCTCTGCCCTCCAGGTCTTTGCACACCACCCTCCCCCCAAAGCACCTTGTTTCCTTATTCAGAGGATTTTAGTCTTTATAGTTGTTACTTCAGTGTCGAATTCTAAGTGGCATGTTGCTTCTTCTAGGTTTATTTATGAAACAGAGCATCACAACGGCATAGCAGAGTTACTGGAAATCCTGGGGAGGTGAGTCGTCTCTGTTCCTGGCAGCGAGTGGAATGGATTCCAGAATGATTCAGCCCACTGAGTCCAGCAGCCCTCCCCAGAGCGAGGCGACTGAAACCATTCCCAGAGGAACTAAGACCTCTCTTGATGGAAGGGGTTAGTGAGGTCTGGGGTTAGAAGCCACCGAAGAGAAACCCCACTGGGTGCCTGGCTCGGCACGCAGGTGCTGTTTCACACCCCTCATCAAAGACGGTTACCTTAAGGTTTATCTGTGACACCTGGAAGAATGGATCATTTACTGTAAACGGGCGATGTTGAGTAAATGCTAATATTTCAAATTGCTTTGGTTTTATAACTTTTTTATAAATGTTCTTAAAAGTAATTAACATTTTAAAAATTTTACCATCTTAAGCCAAGTGGAGTTCTTGCTTGCTAAATCAATGACCTATAGATTTTATATCAGACCTCCAACCCACTGTTTCCCAGAGTTCCTCGGGGTTCCCCAGTTGAGTAAGCTTGGAAGTGCTCTCCCCCAGCACATTCCTCAGGGATTCAGCTGCATCAGCAGCTAAAGGTTCCGAGGGACACTGCAGGGAGGGAAGCTGTGTCCATCCCCCGAGCTTTGGGAACACAGGAAGCCTGTCTCCGGGAACACCGGTGTCATCTGGTCTATCTGCGCTCCAGCAACGCTGAGAAAACCGTCCTTGCTATTTTAGATATAATCTGAAAGAACCCTTAGTCCTCGTGCAGAAGTCTACTTTGACCTGTTTCAGCACAGTCGGCCGGTTACTCTCTCTCAGTAGAGTATGGTGAGCGGTTGAGGGCCCCTTACTAGTTGTATTACCTTCCTTAACTAGTCTTGGCCACTGTTTTCTTAGTAAAGTGGGGAAATCCACTCACCTCCAACATGTTGCAAGGAGGGCATTAAGTGTCTGCACAGCCCGGTGTGTCACAAAGAGGACTCTGCTTCCTGCTGCTGGGATCCAGAAGAGGTGTTTGACCGTGAGGGTCTCCCAGATGCAAATGAGCAGGTCATCCCTAATGTCCACTTCAGACAGCCTGCGGCACACACGTGTGCAGGACCCCTAGAGGGTGCAGAACAGTCTAGAAATCGCGGTCACTGCTCCGTAGCTCCAACACGTGTCTGTGCTTACCAAATAATAAAACCAAATAGAGAAAAAGGAAGCCCCCTCGCCCAGCTGGAAACCAGTGGGTACGCTACTTAATGTTAGAGACAAAGCTTCAGTATGGAGGCAGGAGTGAGTTTTTATGTAGAAGGGAATGACTTCCTGGCTGATTTGCCGCCAAATCCCATCCTGCACACTCAGATTCCGTCCTGCCAGCATTAGAGTAACGAACCCAAATTCCTCTAGAGAGGTGCCAATCCCTAAAAATGGGTGAAGGCAAAGGGAAGGTGCCGGGGTTGGGCAGACCCAGAGCGGGGGTCCCGCGGGAGCTGCCTGGCCTCCACGGCCTGTCTAAAGAAGGAGGCTTTGCCCCCAGGGACTCGCGCTGTTTTGGGTAACCCAGAACAAATCCAAAATCTTAGAATTATCTTACACATAACAAAGATAAAAATGACCGTGCTTCTTGGAAGGTATTTAGTTTTCTTTTTCATTTCTGTTAATATCGTCTTTTGTGCAATGTACATTTTGCTTACCAATTTTTATAATGAAAACGAGAAAAGAAAAACCAAGATTTTTTTTAATCTGGAAATTATAAATATTCAAACTTTGAATAAATTCTGTTTTCACAGTATAATTAATGGATTTGCCTTACCACTAAAAGAAGAGCACAAGATTTTCTTACTGAAGGTGTTGCTACCTTTGCACAAAGTGAAATCTCTGAGTGTCTACCATCCACAGGTAAGGGGTGCCCAGCGGTGATGCGCAGGTGGGGACACTCGCTAGCACAGGGTCTCCAGAGGAGCACTGATGAGTCCGAGACACAGAATCCCAGCCTGTTACTGGGAGTGTCCTCTTTGTTATGTCCCATTGCCGATGTAGGTAATTGAAAGGATACAAGGGTCAAGAGATTCCCTCTTAAGAAAATCAGAAACAGGGGTGCCTGGGTGGCTCAGTGGGTTGAAGTCTCTGCCTTCAGCTCAGGTCATGATCCCAGGGTCCTGGGATCGAGCCCCGAATTGGGCTCTCTGCTCAGCGGGTAGCCTGCTTCCTCCTCTCTCTGTCTCTGCCTGCCTCTCTGCCTACTTATGATATCTGTCAAATAAATAAATAAAATCTTAAAAAAAAAAAAGAAAGAAAATCAGAAACATCTCAAGAATAGAGAATTTCAGAATTCGTTCTAAGCACAGAGAAGGGGGTGACTCACTCAATGACAGGAGTCAAGGGCACTTCTCAGAGGAAGTTTTCTGTCAGATTTTAAATCTGGCTCCTTCAAGAAGAAGCCTCTGTCTGTGGCCAGTGACAAAGCTGTGGGCTTTCTGTAGTTTGCAGAAATCTGATGACAGTTACCCTGAACACCTGGTCCCTAAGTGGTTCCTACCCGGTTAGGCGGCTGCACTTACCCACGAGACGTGGTCCCTCCTTCGCTCTCGCCCTCATGAGCCCTGCATGGACAGGTGCAGAGGGTCGGGGACAAGCCTGGCAGCCAGCGGGCTCCCCCGTCCTGCAGGCCCTCACGCTGGATGGCACAGTGTGTCGGCACAGGCTCAGTCACGGGAAGTGTATTCTTTTTTTTTTTTTTTTTTTTTAAGATTTTATTTATTTATTTGACAGAGAGAGATCACAAGTAGGCAGAGAGGCAGGCAGAGAGAGAAGGGGAAGGAGGCTCCCTGCTGAACAGAGAGCCCGGCACGGTGCTCAATCCCAGCACCCTGGGATCATGACCCAAAGGCAGAGGCCTTAACCCACTGAGCCACCCAGGCGCCCCAGGAAGTGTATTCTTTACGGGAATCTTGGCATGTCAGCTTCCTGGGAAGTATTTTACTTCGTGGTGGGTTTTTTTTCCCCCCTTCTGCTGTTAATGGGTGATGGTCACTATACTTCCAGCCAGCTTGTTATCCTGTTGTTCTACAGAAGAGATTTTAATAGTTCAGTGGTTTAAGGTACAATCAGATTTTAATTTGTCTTTTTCCAGCTGTTAGATTACTTGTTAATTACAATCTCTAAGAAGAGGGTGAGGAAAATCCCCGTCAAACCAAGGCTGACTCGTCGATATTTTATATTCGTCTGAAAAACTGTTGGCTGATTTTTTTAGCTTTCTGCTGTGTCTTGTCCCTGAGAGTCCCCCTCAGAGCACCAGTGTCTGCCAGCCCCAGGGTGGGGGAGGCCATACTAAGGGGTGGGGGGCAGCGTTGCCGTTTTGGAGGGAAATGCTAATGCCCCCTCTCCTGTACTTCGCAGCTGGCATACTGTGTTGTGCAGTTTTTAGAAAAGGACAGCACCCTCACTGAACCAGTAAGTATGCGCTCTGGCTGGGACCTTGGTCCGGGCACCAGTGCACCCGTGATGTGGCCTGTGGGCGTCCCCAGTTGTCCTATCACCGTGGCTCCACTGGCCAAGTAGCTGCTCGGAGCACGTCATCACCTGCGGTCGCGCTGACAAACACACTGCTTCCCTTCACGTGTCGTGTGTTCAGAGTGTGGCGACTTGGATTGCAGGGTCCTTTACCGCGGTGATGATCATACGTGAGCAGATTGCCTCTTCCCTGAGCTGGACCACAGTCCTCTGAACTCTGGATCGCGCACCCCTGAGCGGCAGTGTTCCTCCCGGGTCCAAGGGTAGCTGCTCCGTGATCACCACATCACAAGTGCCCGGTGGCCGCTGTTGAGCGTGTCGATTTCCAGATTTCTCGGCCTGTTACCGTGTCTAAAAACGAAGGCTGTCATATCCTAGATTAGCCAAGTGGAAGGTGTGGGGGGCCGGTGTAAGCCTTTGAATACGCTTTTTTTGGTCGCTTTATTGAGCTATAATCCATATACCATACGTCTCACCCATTTGAAATGTGCAATTCAGTGGCTCTTTGGCATATTACGTTATTTTCTTTATGATAAAGTACATGTAGCATAAAATGCAGTGTGCCATTTTCACTGTACATGCGTGGGGCATTAATTACGTCCCAGTGCTGCCCAGCCGTCAGCACGGTTCCCAGAACTTGGTTATCGTCCCAGACAGAAGCTCTGATCCCCCCGAACGCCACCTCCTGCTTACCCCTGCGCACCCCTGGTGGCCTCTCACCTGCTTTCCGTGTCCACGATTGGCCTGGTCCAGACGCGGGTGGACTCCTGCAGGTTGTCGTCAGGGTTCAGACCCGCCTTGCCTGTGTCCGAACTCGGTCCCTGGGTGCGGCTGGATGGACTCCCTTGAATTCTGTTCGTCTGCTCCCCTGCCGGCGGACGCTGGGGTCGCTGTGAGCGTGGGTGCCAGGGGTCTGTGCAGGTCCCCGCTCTCGGCCCTGTCGGTTGTACGGCTCGAGGGGTAGTGCTAGGTCAGCTAGTGTTCCTGTGCTTAGCTCTGGGAGGAGCTACCCCACTGCCCGCCGCCCCCCCCCCCGCAGCTACACGGGCTCTGCGCCCCCCCCCTCCCCCCCAGCACTCGGGGTCATCCCTTTTTTCATCCTGGCCATCTAGTGAGCGTGTGGTGGCGTCTCTCGGGGGCTCTTTGATTGGCATGTCCCTCCCGGCTGAAGAAGTTGGGCATCTCTTCATGCACTGGTTGGTCACCTGGTGTGGACCTACCCCTTCAGACCCACTGCCTGTGTTTTATCCGCCAGGCAGTTTCTTACCGTTGAGTAACCAAGTGAGAAGGACGGAGTGTCAGCTGTAGCGTTTGAGTACTCTTGCTGAAGCTAACCGTTGGGATAGAAAAGGCAAATGTCATTCCAGCATTCTCCCTCCCTGTGGCCGCCTCCACAGTGGTCCCATGAGGTTGTGAGTGTTACGGTAGAAACACGCAAGAAATGCATAGTTTCTCTGTTTCTGGGCCACACTGGCTCCCAATCTCTGCTTTCTTAACCCCATGCACTGACTCCCGGAGTCACCCGGCAACTCCGGAAGAGCCCTCGACCACAGCCCCGGGATCCTGCACACCTCTGCCTCCAAGATTCTGGAAGCCCCCACGGAGAGGCACCAAACTTACCAGACTTCAGTGTCAAACCCAGAGTGTTTTCTCCCTTTCAGGGTCAGGTTATTTTTATCCCCCTTGACTAAACGGAAGACGTGTCTCGGTGGGGAAGGACAGCTGAGGTGGCCCCAGTGATCAAGTCTCTTCTCCAGTGGGGCCACGTCCTCAGGGCCTGTGTCTGTGTTGGACAGTGGCTCCCCACCAACGGGTTGGAACCATTACCGAAGACACGTATGGAAACAGATTCTGGCACACGCCCTGCCTTTTCTACCTCAGAAATAAGGGAAGGAAAAACACGGAAGGAAAGAAAAAGCGTGCACTTCCTGATTTTTCTCTGTGTGTATTTCTCACACGCTCCAGGGACTGAAGAATTCACCAGACGCTGCGCCGCGTTCGCTGCAGGCCAGGCCCCCACCTTAGTGCCCCGGTCCCCGGCCAGGTCTGTCACAGCCCGAGTCCTAATCCTGCCCAGCACGCCCCTGTTCTTCCTTCCCCAGAGACGAGTGCGAAAGCTGACAGCAGTTGGCGGGAGCGGGAGCTCTTGGCCGTAGTTGTATGACGGAAGGAGAGAGGCAGCCGCTGGCCTCCGCTGGGTCCTTCTGTCTTGACTGAGTTGGCACGGGCGTGGAGAAGCCCCCGCACAGCCGGTCCCAGGACTGCCACCCAGATTCGCTCCGTTCCCGGATCTCCTGCCACACAGACTGCATACCAGTGCTCCGTGGACTGCAGAAAGCAGACTTTGTTTTCTGCACATCAAAACCGTGCAGACCTTCACCTCAGGGAACTCCTATCTTTGAAGTTCCCATGTTATGAAATACAGAGACTGCTCATCTTCCTTCAGCATTGAAAGCTTGTCGACAAGAAGATGAACGGGATGAAGTCTCGTGAAGGTGTGCATCCACTTGGCAGCGCTGAGGAGGACACAGCACCCATGGGGGGTCTCAGGGTCCGCACCCAAGGCTCTCCTGAAGCCAGTGTGGCCAAGGTCAAGAATGTTTAAAGTACGATCCATTTAAAAGACCTGCATCACTCCCGTTCAAGGTCTGCAATTAATATTTTATTTGTGAACTGTGTGTAGCACTCAGAAACCCTCTTGAGCACATATGCTACTGTTGTACGAACAATACAAGCTCATCCGATCACAGGTGGAAGTAAGATCACGTTACGTTGTCCTCCGCCTGTTTCTTCAGGATAATTAACTTCTGCTACAGGATCTGGTGGGAACCCCCTTTTTCCTGGTGTGTCGGGGAGGGGCTCGCGTGCCCTCCCCAGCCCCGTCCAGAGAGCAGCACCCCGTCGAGTCTCCAAAGGAGAGCTCAGTGCATGACCTGCGCCCAGCAGCAGACGGACGCTTTTGCCTCGATGAGCTTCACCACACAGGCCCCTCTTTTACGAAGTGCTGCTGCCTTCTGAAACCATGGTATCGAGCATCGGTCACTCCAGATGGTGTGATAAGTTGGTCCAGCATGGGGCTCCGATTCCAGAAATAAAACCTCTTCTATAGACATTGAATAGCTAATGCCATTGTGTTCTGCGTCTCACACGCTAGTGTGTTTTTCCTAACAAAGTACCATTTGACAAATGACAAGGAAGAGTGGGTTTGGGAACTGACTGACATCTGCTGTAACCTTTTTTTTTTTTAATGATTGTTTAAAGATTTTATTATTTATTAGAAAGATGGAGAGAGACCACAAGTAGGCAGAGCAGCAGGCAGAGGGAGAGGGAAAAGCAGGCTCTCCGCTGAGCAGGGAGCCCAATGCAGGGCTTGATCCGAGGACCCCGGGATCCCGACCCGAGCCAAAGGCAGCCGCTCAACCGACTGAGCCACCCAGGCACCCTGACATCTGCCGTAATCTTAATCGTGGTCCCCACACTGGGGAATAGTAGCTGGTAACTAAATGTCCAACAGTTTTGAGCAAAAAGTAGGACCAAAATCATTAAACGCTAGATTTTTTAAGGAAATCCCTTCAGAGATAATCATGTTGTAAAGTTTTACATCAGACTCCAAGACGAGGAGCACAGTCTTTTTTATAAATGTTGGAGTTCATAAAGTGTAACATCATGAAAGACCATCTTGGAGCCTGAAGGCCAAAAGCGTTAAGCGGAGTTGTTCGGAATGGCTGCTGTTGAAAGGCCCATCGTGTTTTAGCCACAGTCAGGATGTCACCGCTGGCCTGCCCAGCCGTCAGGTGCCGTCTGCAGGGTTGCGGAGGATGGGCCGGTGGAGAACACCCACCCGCCAGCCGGAAGGAGCTGGCACTTGCCGTGATTTTCGTGGCGGTCCCGACGCTAGTGGGGGCTGGGACACTGGTTCCTGAAATGGTAGTGATGGGCTGCGGTTGTGTTCTGGGCCCTTTTGCTCTTTCAGAGTGAAGACAGCTGCACTCTGGAAATGTTACTCACCCTCACCGAGTTGAATCTGACACTCTGGGGGGACAATCTTTACTGGTATGGTTGTGATAGGAAATTTGGGAACTATAGGAGTGAGATAGAGAAAGGTTGCCCCACAGAAACTCCTTCTCCCTGCCGACCGGGGCAAGGAAGGTAAGGTCCGGTCCCCGCAGGTGAGGGAGCTGTCGCCGCCACCGGCTGAACAGGCCTCTCGGGGGCCAGCGGCACAGATGCTGTCGGGTGGATCCCGGCTGAGGCCACGCTGCCGTGTTCCCCATGGGCCAGCATGCCTCGGTGCAAGGTCCTCGCAGCCCCCGAGGTGGTTACCAGCCCAGGGTCACAGGCCACATGCACAGAGGGCAGTGGGACCTCAGATCCCCCTGCAGCCCCACGCAGCCTGAGCTACAACAGGATCAACTTATTCCACATCTTCTGTTCTGACTCATCTTAGCACAGTCGGAAACACCGTGTTGGCACACAGTGTGCAGAAATACCCAGGAATGGTCAGTTTGAGAAAGAAACAGATTTTGCGTACATGTGACCAGCAGCCTCCCCGCTGACCGCTCCTGCATGGAAACGGATACACAGATTCCTACTTCCCGTGTCTCTCCTTCGTTCTTTTTCTCTCTAAACCCTCCTGACTGCTCATTTTTTATTTTCTTTTTTTTTTTTTTGAAGGGACTGACTGCAGTGGGGTTAAGCAGAGGGAGCGGGTCACATGTGTTAAAGTGGCGATTCTGAGGTAAATCAGATGAGATCCGGTTCTCTGATCATAAAAAGCCCACGTGCTGAGTTATGGTGCGGCCGTTCTGTCTCCGCAGAAGAAAGCGTCGCCTGGTTCTGTGGCTCTGCTCAGGGGGTCGCATCCACGGAGCAGAGGTGGCAGGTGTCACACCGTGTGTGTTTTCTCCGGCAGGTGGTGATGGCTCTTCTCAAATACTGGCCAAAGACTCACAGTCCAAAAGAAGTCATGTTCTTGAATGAATTAGAGGAGATCTTAGACGTGATCGAGCCGTCGGAGTTTGTGAAGATCATGGAGCCGCTCTTCCGGCAGCTGGCCAAATGCGTGTCCAGCCCCCACTTCCAGGTACGGAGGGCGGGCCGAGCGGCCTCGATGGGAGTCCACATTGGCAGAGGTGACCGGCTTTGGTGCGTCGCGGCCACGCCGTGCGTGTCACGTGGGCGAAGGAAGACGGCCGGTGTAGTCGTGCTTTGAAGTAGGACGCTAAGGCGCTGACTCTGTAAAACACACTTGAGCGCCTCGGCCGCATCACTGACCCCTGCTTCTCGCTAAGAGTAATTAGGAAAGGCTCCTCAGGAAAGCTGTCTTTGTCTTTCTGTTCCGTGTGCCCCAACGGCATCACGCTCGCTCCCTGCAGCCGAGCAACGGACACTTGGGGACAAAGTGTTTGGCCCTGACACTCCCCGTCTACAAGCACTTGTTTCTGACACATATACATTCCGACTTTTGTCCCCCCTCACCCCCCAGTTCCTGTTTGAGGGGGCCTCAGTCACCTGCTGCTCTCCCCTCCTGGGTTCCTCATTCAGCCGTTGTGGCCTCATTCTGAGGTCATCCCCAGGACCTTTGTTCAGCCTGTCTGCCTCCCTTGCACGTGCTGGAACGTGTTGTGAGCTCACCCTGAGCAAGGCGGCCCTCCTCCTGACGCCTTCCATGCTGCTGTCTGCCCCGGGGCCTGTCACCTCTGGGGAATTAACTCTCCCATCCTCTGTCTGCCCTGTGGGAACGTAAGCTCTGCGAGGGCGGGAGTCCCACTTCACCTTGTCCACTCTGACGCCTTGGCTCTTCCCGGACCCATGATGGAGGAGAGTGGGCAGAAGGCGGGTAGAAGGGGAGCATTTGGCCCGTGTCCTCCATGTAGAGCCCGGGGCGCAGCCTAGATGTTCCTTGAAAGAGTGGAGAAGTGAGTGAGTGTGTTCTCGGTGGGCAGGAAACCGTCTGCCTTTTGCAGCGGTCTCTTGGATGACGGTCTCGAGTGTGCCAAGTCTGTGGCGCTGATTGATGGGTGTGATTCATCACCTCCCCATGCAGTCGTGGCGAGGGTCCTGCTGAATGAGTGTTTCTCGTCACGGTCACCACAGTTGTGCCCTCCATCTTGCAGGTGGCAGAGCGAGCGCTGTATTACTGGAACAACGAGTACATCATGAGCCTGATTAGCGACAACGCGGCAAAGATCCTGCCCATCATGTTTCCTTCCTTGTACCGCAACTCCAAGACCCACTGGAACAAGTAAGAAGGGGGCGCGGGGGGGACTCCATCTGTGAAGCGTCTGCCCTCAGCTCAGGTCATGGTCCCAGGGTCCTGGGATTGAGGTCCACACCGGGCTCCCTGCTTGGTGGGGAGTCTGCTTCTCTCTCTCCCTCTGCCTGCCGTTTCCCCCGCTTGTGCGCTCTCTCTCTCTGTAATAAATAAATAGAATCTTTTTAAAAATTAAAAGGAAAAACAGGAAAGAGCTGGCTGTACACTGGGGCATTTAAAGTTCCCCATATGTCGCTGAAACTTCAATTAGGATTGAAATCCAAGTCCGAAATACTGGTTTAAAAAGGAGACACACGTAAGCACTTTGCAGAGATCTTCACCTTGTCGTGAAGGTGAATGCAGGTGAAGTCAACGTACCGAAAGTCCCGGACCCATAAGAGGCATCAGCGCGCGGCTCTGGGGTTCACTGGGGCACTCCTGGCACGGCCCCGCAGACCTCGTCATTGTATCGACTTTCAGCAGCCTTTACTCTGCCACATTCATTTTTTATTACGCTCAGCAGGTGGGAGCAAAGGCCTTGGAGCTCAGCCGCCGTCCCCGTGTGCATTTAGTACAATGCAAGAGGCAGTGGTGGCTGCTGCCTGTTGCACGGAGAACGGTGTTATTTAAATGTTTCCAGATACAAGTGGGGTTTTGTTATGAAGTGCGCTACGAAGTCCCCGTGAACCTACAGCAGCAGAAACAGCGGCGGGCCTGGCAGCAAGGAGGGCGGTCGCGGGCGGGAGGGGGGTTTTCTGTGGCTACTCACAAGGCCGTGGGCTTCCTGGGCTCCACAGCGGGCCCTGCTGCCCGTCTTGCTGCCGGTTTGGCCATCCTCTGAGGGCAGGCGGGACTGGCGTCCTCTCCAGGCTCCACTGGGTCACAAAGCAGCTGTGCCTCCTCCTTCTCCTGGACATCAGAGCCAGGAAGCTGAGCTTCGTGAAGCCATTCCGTGGTCATTTTATTTTGTGTCTTCCAAAGCCCTGTTTTGGCATTATTAAAAAAGTTTTCTACCCTTAATTAAGATGAAAAGGAAACTGACGTGTCCTTGATGCTGAAATGTTTCCGTTATTTCCCCTACACATTGTTTCTTCAAGTGTAAGTGTTTTTTATTCCGTTTCCACGGCAGGCGGCTGCTGTCAGCCCGGACGGAAAGCGAGGGGCCCCGGGGCCGGTCCAGAGTGCTCCGCGGGCTGCTTGGGAGAGTGACGGGGCTTTGGTTAGAGAGCCCAGGGGCGTGTGACAAGGCCGCTGCAGCAGCTGGAGGGTCAGGGGGCAAAGGGCTGTGGCCGAGGAGGGCAGGGAGGTGGGTAGAAAATTGGAGGGCTCAGAGCCTAAACACCAGGGTCTGCTTACAGGACAATACACGGCTTGATCTACAACGCGCTGAAACTCTTCATGGAGATGAACCAGAAGCTGTTCGACGACTGTACCCAGCAGTTCAAAGCAGAGAAACTGAAGTAAGTTGCTCCTTGCAAAAGCTACTCTTTCGAGGGTTTTCTCTTCCTCAGGCCTGAATAAAGCTCTTGGGTGGGTGGGTCCTAAAACGCTCCTCACTTTAAAGCAAACGGTCTGTCACCCTCGAAACAGAAACGCAAACACTTGTTACATTCACTTGTTGGCGGAGAATATCTCTGTGCTCCCCGTTACAGCACCAGTTTAATCACTTCTGAAAAACGTGCGTGCAGCCCGGACTTCAGCTTTGCCGAGGAGCACGGAGGGGCTGGGGGCGTAGGAGCTTTTCAGATCTATAAGGCCGAGATTTGAGTTCTGTCCCCTGAGGTCTACGTGACTGAGCAAGCATGTTCGTCCCGACGTGGTTTTGCAGGCCCGTGTGGCACAGGCCTCGTCCGAAGCCTGGCCAGCGCCCTTCACGAAACCCACGCCCGCCTCTCACTCAGAGGAGGACGTCACCGTCGGGTCTGGGCTCTGGGCAGGTTTTCTTGTTTGCTTGTCCCTTGAAGCTAGCTCAGGAAGATACACTTTGCACGAGTATAATTCAGGCTACGGGATACACGTAACCAGCGGTCCCGCACACGCTTCACAGATGGCACGTCCATGCTGTCCAGTCGGTCAGGCCCTGTCGCAGGTTCTGACAGCACAGCAGTGCCTACGACAAAAACGTGGCATGAGGGGGACCCACCGCGCGAGGTGTGGTCTGCAGGGCTGGGAGGGAGGCAGGGGCTCGTGCACATGGAGCCTCCCGGCCTCCAGCTTTGTGGCCCGGACTCCCTCGGAGCCGAGCACGGGGTTCACCCGTGCCTTCCACCTTTCACGCGGTGAGTCTCTCAGCTTTCTGAAAAGGATCTTAAAGATCACGCAGCACATTCTCCAGATTAAAAAGAAGAAGAAGAAATGTTGGGTCGAGGTGAAGGGATTTACAGAAGGTTGTGGGCCTCTGGCGGTGGGAGTGGACGAGAACTGGGTCCGAAGATGGTTCCTTTTTAAACCCGTCCTTGTCGGGACGTCAGTCTTTAGCCTCAGTTCCCGTATGCTGTGGAACGATCTCGCTTTCCACGGCCCCATAAGCTTGTCTTCAGAGTTCTCTAGGTTCCCCCGAGCAAGCAGCGAGAGCAGGATGGTGCAGGCCTGCGGGGCTCGTACGCATGTCCTGGGGGCCCACGGTCTCCAGCGTGTTCTCCCTGCGGCCTGCTCACTCGCTCAGTCTCTGCCTCTGAGTCTGGCTTGTTTTCAGCATCGCGTGTGCCGCGTCCCGTCCCGCGGTGCTCCCCACGGTGAAGCTCGGGGAGTAAGACCAGAAGTGACAGAGGAGAGTAGGTGACCGCTGCTGGTCATGTCAGCGTCGCCTCTCGCCTTCGCTTAGACGTGATCCCTGTCTGTAATACCAATGACATTTTGCTGTTTTTCAGAGAGAAGCTAAAAATGAAGGAACGAGAAGAAGCGTGGGTTAAAATAGAAAATCTAGCCAAAGCAAACCCCCAGGTACTAAAAAGAGTAACGTGAAAACCTCCAGGGTGTTACTGAATGTTTTTATGAGCTGGGAACGTGGGGTCCTCGCGCGAGGGGCGGGGGGCGGTCTCACCAACCTTGTATGTGGGAATGTCTGCGATAAACATGCTTCTCGACTTCTGTACAAGTAACTGATTTTTGCCCCACAAGGTTTTTACCACAGAATTGATTTTTTTTCCCTCCGCTTTTTCAACAAGATCTAAATCTTACCAATATACTGTGGTAAAAAGGAAACCAGGGTACAGCCTCTGTTTGGGGGCCAAGATTGCAATTTGCTTTCTCCCCACAAGTGTCATAGACGCTGTCACTCAAGTGGTATGTCCTTTCTTTTTAATATCAAAATCATTTGAAAAAAAAGATTTGAAATAGATGAAGTACAAAGTTGGGTGGCCTTTTTCCTAAAACCAGGTTCCTGGAGGCTGAGCCTTTAATTGTTGAAAATTGCCTGACTTCTATCATGTCGGCCACTAACCCTTCCTCCTGACCTAGCTAGAAGCCTGCAGTGCGCTCTGGCAGGCGGGCGCACGTGGTGTGTCCCATGGAGCTGCCAGCAGGTGCAGCGGCGCCCTGCAGAGTGCCCACCGTGGGCCGGCGTGCGGGATTCTGAGCTGTGTGGTCTTGGGCGTCATGTCCACTGGTCCCGATGGACTGCAGCGCTGTCCAGCAGGTGCTCCTTCTGGTTCGGGGCCAGTCTGAAAATCACGGGGGCGCGTCCCCGCCGCAGGCACGGTCCCCAGGCTGTCCTCCGCCTCCCAGAAAAGACGAGACGGTACTTTAGGAGAACCATTCAGCTCCCTTTAGAGCCCTAAAGGGTTCGTGCAGGTGGGCTGAATCCCAAGCAGTCCGCTTTTCCTGGGTGAGAGGTGTGCACAGGTCGTTCGCTAAGTCCGTGCTGCCGGTTTTTCAGTCTGACATCACCTGAAAAGCGGTGCATGAACAGAGGTTTATTAAACGTATGTGTTTGATCTGTGTGACGTCTCGCTTGTACTTCCCTCAAGAAAACCACATTCAGGAGACTTAAGCCTTCGGAAACTGGAATGACTTTCTTAAGTGAGGTCCCAGTCCCCACGTAGAACAACCCAGCAGCGTCCCTTTTATAGCCTCTGTTCTGTGCTCTTCACGGAAACGCTGTTGTGAGGTGACCCGTGCAGGCACACAGCTCCGGGCATCTGCTGTAAGGAACAGAGTGTGTGGTTAAAATACTGACATTTGTTTTTAAGACACAGGAAAAGCGGGAATCTGGGGCAGGTGGAGGCGGGCAGCCCTGCCTGACAGCCGCGTGCAGGGGGCCAGCCGGGACCCCGCCCCCCGCACCCGCCACCTCGACACCCTAAGACGCGTGAACCATGCACAAGTCAGAGAGCCCACTTCTGTTTATCTTACTGAGATAGAGAAATGATCTCATGGAAACCCGCACGAAGCCTTCCTGCCACAAACGGGAAAGAGCTGGTGGGTTGTGTAACCGGCGTGGCCTGGTTTTCGCTGCTGTGCAGTAACAGGTGTCCCTTCTGAAATAGACACTGTTCTCGTCTCCCTCTTTCTGAGCTGCTCCTGAATTGCTCGTACACGACGTTTTTACTCCTCTGGGCTGCTCTCTGCGGCGTCCCGGGCAGGCCCTGCCTGTGCTTGCCAGGCGCCATGGTGACCGTGACGTTCAGGGCGCCAGGCTGACCGTCTCCCTGTTGAACCGTGTGAGTCACCCCCCGTGAATCCCATCTGCACGCGCAGTCCCCGGCGCCACGTCCCCCAAGGAAAATACTTCCTGGGCTAGTAATGTCTCAGAGCTGGAAGTAAGGCCTCGGGACTTGGTCTTCACTTGAGAGAGGAAATCTTTTCCAAGTTCCAGTCACTGTGTGCCCTTTGTCACAACGACCGCAGGAGGCAGAGAGCTGTGTGGACTACAGCGTGTTTCTTGTTTCCGTCATGGGAACAGTGGGGTCTTCGAGCCTGGCTCCCTGTCTCAGGTCTGCCTTCTTGAGGTATGAGTTCATTGCTTCTTCTGCAAGTCTGCCCCCTGAGCGGTGTCTGGAAGTCTCCCCGAGGCTCCCCTGCTCAGGACATGCGCCGTCCGTCCTGCGAGGCTCAGGGAGTCGGCGGAGCCTCCCAAATTTTCGGTCGCGTTTGTCGTGGCCGTTGTGGCAGTTCCGCTGAAGTTGTTGAATACCATGCGTGGTTTAATTTGTTCAAGTCATGGAATACTGAGGCTTTCTCCCATGAATGTGTTTTCCTAGCCCTCCCTCAAGAGGCCGGGGAGCAGCTTAGTGCTTGCTTCTCCCTGACTTTGGTCGGAATTGTGTGACGTGAAGACAGGCGCTTCTGTGAACCTCAGGTGCAGCCTTGGGCTCGGGGCTTGGGGCCCGGTTGGCCGCTTTCCCTTGAGCAGTGGGCGTCTCTGGGCGACATGTGTGTTCCTTGACCCTGCCATGGACTCCAGCCTCGACAGACAGTTTTATCCCTAGTAGGAATCCTCTCCTGCCGGGGCCTGCTCTGTGGCCCTCCCTTGGCTGGGACCATTTTGTAACATTCTCATTCGTTCTTCTTTTCGCCCTGAGCCCCAGTGAGGACTGGCCGCGTGCCGCTCTCAGCACGGGCACGACGAGTCCTGTGCTTAGTTGTGCTTCTGGGAGCCCCTGGGGGCGCGGCACCGAGGAGACAGCCGCTTCCCTCGGCAGATGGGCCCCAGCTGGGTGTCCTGAATTGTGGAACCTTCCCGAGATACAAAGATGAGAGCAGGACACCGCTCCGAGGGGCTCAGGGATCCATGAGGGGAGCCAGATGGAGGCAGAGAGAATGCATTCAGATGGCCAGATCGTAACACACACGGGGACATGCTGGAGAGGAAGGCAGACAGGAGGTCTGCTTCCTGCCTCCACCTGGGACACAGAAAGCCACACTGGGGTGGCCGCAGTCACGGTGTCCCCAGCAAGAGGGCTGAACCCCTCACAGGGGAAGTCTCAGCCACCCAGTCTGGATCTAGGGGAGGTTCTCAAGGCAGAGAGGGCAGAGGACGGAAGCCGGGTTGTTGAGCACAGGTGGACTGTTGGTGAAGAAGGAGGGGGGCTGGGTGTGGTCTGTGCTTGGGAGCAGCTGGAGAGGGGACAAATGTGGGTGTTTAGCCCCGAGAACAGGTGCAGGTCTTAGAGTCCTGAAGAGCAAAGTGGCCTAATCAGACTTGGATTTCAGAAAGTTCTTTCTGGCAGCAACACGTCTGGTGCCTAGAAGGGGCGGCACCCAGGCACTCTCGCGTGTGTGGCCGTGGCGGCGTGGATGGGAGTGGCAGGTGCCTGGACGCCAGTGGCATGGGAAGGAGGAAGCCGGCCAAGCCGAGGCTCCACGGCCATGGGCTTCCAGTGTGAAGCCCAGCTGTTGGGCAGAAGCGAGTCACGGAGTTTGGCTAGAGGGCTGAGACACGTGGCGTGTGGACGAAGGGGCGGATGGATAACAGCTCCAGGGAGTTAGAGCGTGGGGCAGGAGAGTGAGGTCGGCAGGTGCCAGCCTGGGCGGGGAGGGAGGCTGTGGGCATGAAGAGCAGGTCAGGGGAGTGCGTGCACCCAGGCGCTGAGTGAGGCTGCCCGGAGGGTGCCGCCCACCATCCCTCGGGCCCCAGGGACCAGGGGAGCCTCGGAGGGGAGGCCGCAGCCAACGTCCCAGTCCCATCCGCTGCCACTGGGCCTGGAAGAGTAGAAGCGGGCTGGTTTCCGAGGCCCCGCGGGCACAGGCTGGTTTAACGGCCACCCCACGGGCTGCAGGAGAGGGCCCGGGGTGGGGGGGCACTGGAGGGAAGACTTGCCCCCGCCAGGACGCGAGCTTGCAGCCTGGGACCCGCGCCCAGAGAGTGACTGCGCGCTTTGCATTGCAGTACGCAGTGTATAGCCAAGCGAGCGCCGTGACCATTCCGGTTGCAATGGAGACAGACGGGCCTTTATTGGAAGATGTGCAGATGCTGAGAAAGGCCGCGAACGAAGAGGCTCGCCAGGTAACACGCACAGAGCGAAGCCGGGGCGCCCGTGGTGGGCTTGCCCGAGCCCGAGCACTGGAGCCCGGCCGGAGGGACGCGCTTTCCGTCGCTGCCTTCTGGGCGGGCTCCCCGGTCCAGGTCAGCTCACGGGAGGTACCTTGTCTGCACCTCAGGGAGCAAACGACTAGAAATCGTTGAGTCTCGAGGCTGCGCCTGAGATATGAGTCTTGTCTTCATTCCCACCAGTAACGGTCTCAGCCGCTGACCGTCTCTGGAGCGTGAAGCCGAAGGCTTCGCAGAGTGGGAAGTGGCATCATTCCACCGTCTTCCCCGTTAGCCTCCCGCTCGCGCTCTGGCCCAGGGATGTCCCCGGTCGGCCACCCGTGGCAGCCCTGGGGCCAAGCCCCGTCTCCCTCCCCGACAGCAGAACGGCACTGCCTGGCGGGAAGGGGCCAGAGCCGGGGGCCTTGTCGGGGTGACTCCTGTGCTCAGGTGGTTTGTCCCCCACCGTGGTGGGGGTACATGTGCAGACCCCCACCCATCCAGAGACCGACTGCATTACCGAGCTGGGAACACGCAGACAGTGGGGGCTTCAAAGAGGGCAGGTGTCCCGCCTGTGCGTGAGGAGCCTGTCCTGGCCGTGTTTCTCTGGGGGGCGGGGGCCTTCCTGACTCTGGAACCTTGAGAATCCCTGACGACACCCAGCGCTAAGATTCCGAAGGGGCCGAGGTCGGGTGGCTGGACGCAGGCGGAGTACCGATGCTCAAGTCGTTCACAACTCGCTTGAGCAGAGGTTTTTAACTCGGGCAAATTTCACTCCCCACTTGATCAGAAGGGACGGGGTGTCAGCGAGAGCACAGGCCCGCCACCGCCCAGACCACGCTGTCCTGACTCGTGGCCACGAGCCCCGTGGGGCTGCTGAGCCCTCACAGCGTGGCCGTCTGCACCGAGCTGCGCTGACAGCCCAGAGCACAGGAAGAAGCAAACACAAAAGCATCTCATTTGTAATTTTTTACTCTTGCTTTATGTTGAAATGACATTTTGGATATATTGGGTTAAATTTTGAAACACTGTTAAAATTCATTTCACCTATTGCTTTTTACTTTTTTAACGTGGCTACTAGGGAATTTGGAGTTCCATACTTGGAACATGTTTTGTTTTGTTTTGTTTTTCCCAACCGGATGGCATCGGTCCAGAGTTGTTTTGCACAGGGCTGCCCAGAGAGGCGGCTGCAGTGACCACCACGTGCATGCCCCTTCTTGCCCAGCCAGCTCCCAGCCTTAGCAGAAGATCAACACTTCAATACCAGAAATGCGGTGGGGAAACTCCGTAAACGCCTAGTGGATGTCAGTGACTTATTTTGACTTAGTTCAGTTGGAGTCCATAATTGTTAGCAGTGAACAGATATAATAAAAACTAAAAAATCCCCATTTTTCTCTGTCCTACCTATGAGGACATTGATTTTTCTGCTTCACTTTTTTTTAACTGGAAGAGGAATTTGAGGTCATTTTTTAAATTGCCATTTTGATTTTATGGCTTGAAGTGTACTAAAGACATGAGAGCTCGCCCAGTGCTTACAGACACAGATATCAAGCAGCACCCCTCGTACCGGGAGCCCTGCCCCGGAATCTGGGACAACATTAGAGGGGTTTTTTGTTGTGTTGTGTGTTTTGTTTTGTTTTGTTTAAAGATTTTATTATTTATTTATTAAGATTTTATTTATTTATTTATTATTAAGAGAGGGAGAGGGCATGAGCGGGGAGAAGGTCAGAGAGAGAAGCAGACTCCCCCCAGAGCTGGGAGCCCAGTGCGGGACCCTTGGATCATGACCTGAGCTGAAGGCAGACGCTTAACGACTGAGCCACCCAGGCGCGCCACCACCTTAGTTTTTAAGTCGTGTAGACCTTTCAGCAATGGACAGGAAACTGATGGTTCATAAGCCAGTTCTGACACATTAATTATTTGGGGTTTGAAAGTTTGGGGGGGTTTTAGTCCATCCTTGACCCACTGAAGGTCATAATTAATGCTAGGAAAAGAATGGCCTATGTCCAAAATGTAAAGAACACGTAAATTATGGTCTTATTTATGATTCCTCTATGAGGGATCAAGTATTTGATCCAGAAGGCAAATCGAAATAGCATTCTCATCGTGAGTGGGAAGCGGCCCTGGTTGATCCGTCCCGTGCCCTCGGCGGTGTGCGTCTTTCCCCGTAACACGAAAGGCTCAGTCTATACTCACGCACCCACCTGGTTCTGACTGACACAAGGCAGACAGGTGGTTCCTGGAGAACTCCTGTAGCGTGTGCTTCCGTGACTCTTTTGAGGTGATGTAACTAACTTTTCTGCATAATAATTTCTTAGATCTCTACAGTCACGCTCCTGAGTTGAAGACTCAATGGCATTAAAACACCCGTTCTCAGGGGCGCCTGGGTGGCTCAGTGGGTTAAGCCTCTGCCTTCGGCTCAGGTCATGATCCCAGGGTCCTAGGATCGAGCCCCGAGTCGCTCTCTGCTCAGCAGGGAGCCTGCTTCCCCCTCTCTCTCTGCCTGCCTCTCTGCTTACTTGTGATCTCTCTCTCTGTCAAATAAATAAATAAAAATCTTCAAAAAAAAAAAAAACAAAACACCCGTTTTCCCCAAATTAATGTGATCTCAATCAGAACCCCAGCATACTTTTTTTTTAATGACATACGGATTCTAACATCCACATGGCAACACAAAGGACCCAGAATAGCCAAACAACTTTGAAAAAGGAAAGAACTGGAAGACTAATACCATCTGATTTTAGGGCTTGTTACGGGTTTTGGTGAGTCCATCGAATCCCGCCCCATTTCAAGCCAACTAGGTGAAGGTATTTCTAGTACAGTCTCATAGGTATAATATTTGATATAATAGACTCTCCTGAATTTGAAAAATGTTGGAGTCCTGTATCCTGAAAATCTCAAAACACCATCGTTAAAGCAAAGAGAAAAATACCTCGATGCGGGAGAACTTGATGTGCACAATTTGGAGACCAAATCACATAAAAAGTTATAGCTAAAAATTAAAGTCTGAGTATTTTCAGGGCCCTTTCAATTTTATCTCTGGCTCATTTTATTTTCCAGAAATAATTCCATATTTCTTTAAAATTACTTGAATGTTGGCCAGGATGGGACACATGGGAGAGGTAAATGGCAGAGGAGGGGAGGAAGTGGGGTGCGGTTGGTTGGAATTCTGTGGAGAAATTAGGTATTGATCTGTCAGAACCATAATTTGCATTTTTATTTTGGGGGAGGGGGGTAGGGAGGAGCTTATCTAACCCTCCATGAAACATCCAAAGAGAAGTAGTAAATTTCATGTGAATGACATTTATACCGGAGACGTTTAAAATGTTAACAATTCTCATTTTTAACAGTCGGTCGGGAGAAAAGCAGTGTCAAGCACGCAGATAAGGAAGGTGTAGAGAGACGGAAAGGTGGGCAGTGAAGGTACTCCTTACCCCATACATAGAGTGTGTTTAAGGCTTGTACGCTTAGGACAAGACTTGACAAATAATGCTATGTACGTGAAGTATTTTCCCCTTCCGCCCTGTCACTCCAGCTGCTGATGGTAAAGGCAAATCTGGTCTCTTGAGACATTTTGGGGGTTAGCTGTGTCCTCAGCTGCCTAGTAAAAACGTGCGGCCTTGTGTTCGCCCCCTTCGTGTCCTGCTCCCACTTCCTGTGTGGAGACTCGAGCCTCGTAGATCCGCCCACACGCGGCAGACGGAGGCCGCGCCTCGCGCTCCCCCTGCTTCCGCGTCGGCCCACGGCCCACACGCCCCCCAGCCTGCCCCTGCGGGGTGACCGTGCGCACGCCCTGTCGTCCTTCCCCGCCTGCTGTCTTTCTTTCTCCTCCTGTCACGCTCTGCCTGACACCCCCGTCCGAGATGCCCGTGCAGGAAGCCCGGCGCGTCCGGCCCGCTGTCCTCGCAGATGTTCCCAGGTCCCCTGTGTTCTCTGCATTTGCACTTCTGGTTCCAGTTCCCCAGTTTCGACCGCGGCCTTTTTCTGCTCACCTGTTTCTTCTCCTCGGAAGGCCTGTTGCGGCGGGAGTGAACTCTACCGAGTCTGTAAAAGTCTGGGTGTGGCTTGGCTTGGCTTGGCTTTGTTTTCAGAGTAGAATTGTTCCCTCTTGGGTTCCTTGTGGGCCGAAAGCAAACACGCCCGGCGCTGTGCCCTCACAGCCCCCTGATGGGGGTGCTTCTCCCAAAGCCGCCGGCACTAATCTCCAGGGGCAAAAAGCCAGACTCCCGCCTCTCCCATAAATGAGTGTGAATATTCACGTCACATTTCTAGAAATATTCCCAGAACATCACACAAGGCTCTTTCTAAACCTTGATGTCCCTGCCTTTTCCACAGGTAAATCTGCAAAGAACCCTGAGAAATACTTAGCTTTGCAAAAACGTGAACTTTCCACGTTTGGCTTCCGTGGGTTCTAGAATTGCTTCGAAAAGCCAGGAGAAGTGTACTTTACGCAGAGGTTAGATATCCCCAGACTCTGAGAGGTGGCTGTGGTTTTGTCCCTTTTGTTGTCAGACGATTGACTTGAAATGAATTTTCTCTGATAAGGCTTTTGTTCACTACCACGGAAGTCAGTCCGTTCTCTAAAGTCTGTCTCGTCAATGGAGACGCCAAGCAGAAGCGCTTGCTTCTGGCTGAAGTGGAGAGCTCATTGGCAGTCCTCTGGTGCCTACGCTGTGTTCAGATGATTTCCGTGGCTTGTCTTGTTTCAGAAATACTGGTACGGATGCCCTGGCCCTGCCCCGAAACCGACGGACTTGTTCACCTGTTACTTACGGGAACGGGTGCCTTCGTATAAACACCCTGTATTAACACCCCCCACCCCGCTTCTGTAGCAGACACAGTTCTCTAA